TTAATATGAACTTCTTGGCCATCTGCTAGAGTGTTGAAATTTGAATTTGAAAATTTAAATTAAGTGGCTACATGAAATTATTTAATAAGACCAATATATAAGGATCAAACTTCAAAGGCTTTCATTTCATATTTTTATTGCATAATAATACTTCAAATTAACTTGTCTAATAAACTAGCGCATTAAGCTTAAATAAGTCTAATAAATTCAAAATAACACAAATTATCTCAAATCAACTTAAATAGGAATTCCCGGAGGACGCTCAAGACAACCCTTGATATGCCTCCTTAAACCAGTTGTGCCCTCCCACTTTCGACGAATATTAAAGACCCGACTACAGTTCTTGCACTCTACTTTGCGAACTTCTTCATTTTCTTCTACCACCTCGAAGTGTTCCTAAACATGTTAGCGCACTCTAGAAGCACAAGGCATGATTTAACCTGAATTAAAAATTTGAGTTTGAGAATTGAGAGATGATTGAAGAAATGAAAAAGAGGGTGAGTCTATTTATAGTTTTTTAAAGGGCTAAATTAGTAAAGAATAAAAGTATTATTTTTGAAAAATAAATACCCAAAAGGGGCTATTCTTGACAAGACCTTACTGGGTTGGACCGGTCCTGTTACTCGATAGTGAAATCTTCCTTGTCATAGGCCGGTTCACATCCAAACCCAGCCATGCCAGCTTCATTACCACCGGGTCGGTCTAAAATTGGTCAGAGCCAATCCAGAACTGGGCCAGCCTGACCCGTTTGAAAGGTTTAATCCAAATCAAATGACAGAAAATTTTAGAGTTTCACCCACATCTCCGATTAACATTTGACCGTCCACGAATTCAATCTTAACCCCCTATTTGGATAGGATTGGGTTGGAATTTTTTGAGCTCATTTAAAACTGAGGCTTATAAGCCCGACCCAAGTCAGCCCATTAGACCTTAGGATTGATCAGGGATGGGCCTAGGTAGGCCCCTAGGCTAAAATTTAAATTAAAGTCTAATTTAAATATTTAATATTTGAAAAAAGTAAAAATATGAAATACTATTAACTAAAATCCTCATTCTCCAACTCTATATTGCCCATTTTCCCTTGACATGCATGTAGTATGACAAGATTAATTTTTCTTTTGCTTAATTAATAACGAACTAGGATTTTAAAAAAAATATATATTATCATTAATTAGTTTGGATTACTATAATATATTATGCTCTTCAGTATAGGAAAAGATCAATTTTCAAAACCCAATAAAATTTGACAACACTAGCAAATATTATGAATTATTGAGTATGATGATGAAATCAGCAAATGATCTTAAACCTAAATTAAAAGAACTCATTATATAAATTTATTGAAGTAATTCCTGAACCTGAGGAAGTTGATAAGAAAAGTATTAAAATATTTATATGAAGTAAAAAAAAAAGAGATAGAGATATAAAGAGTTTACATTTCAATTATGAGATTCCTTATCAAATATTAAAAAAATTGTACGGATCTAAGCAAACAAAAGAATTTCACATGATTAGGCGAATATTTCATGCAAAAATCCTTAAATATTTGAAGGGAAAAAGTTGAATAAAAAAATGAAGGGTCGACCCGGCCTAGCTTGTTGTTCTGGGTTGGGCTGGCCATTTTGAGGCTCATTCAAATAGCGGACCGACACATCCTAGTCACCATATTGAAAAGGTCGTGAGGTATGGGCCGGGCTGAGCTGGCCCGATTTTATAGCTTTAGTGCTGGCATTAAATAATAAGGATATTTTAGGAAAAATAAAAGTGAATATAATATGTTAGGCCCCGCACTCCTTATTCACCCGTGAAGTTAAATGGTTTACAAATTTAGCCTTTAGCTCAGCCAATGAGTCGATGCCACGCTAACCGACAAGAGGGTGATTACATTTTATTAGGCTTGCACTAGTTGTCCCACCGGGTGCTGTGGCTGGGGCCACATGTTTTACATGTGGAGGCGGTGGAGTTTTCTAGGCTTGATATAAAAAGGCAGTGCAACTCTTTTCCCTTTCATTCTAGAAAATATTGCTAGCTTTAGCTCACCCAAATTGCTCTCAAGCCTTCCTAAATGGATATGGCTAGAATCAAAGACGAACTTGGTGAAAAAAAATTAGGAAAAGGGGCTCATGATCATCACGGTACCATCTACATTCTTGTGATACTTATTTTGGAGATTTCTTTGGAAATCCAGATAATCACCATAGAAGTAGGAAGTTCAGGGAGTGTAGGTAATTCTTCAAACAAGGTATATAAGGTAACATTCTTTCTTTGCATGACTTGACGTAAGATTCTCATTCTGAATGATTTCTATGTTATTAGACTGAATTGTCCTAAACCTTTCTTGATAAAGTTGTTCTTGTTCTTGTACATTCTTTTCCAATGGAATTTCTTTCACGCTCGATATGTTCCCAGATAGTATCTTAGGGTTGAAAAAATGTGAATTCATTCTGAGTTTGATCTTGATGTATCCTGAAATTGATCTTGCATTACACTTATATATATATATATATATNTGAGTCCTCTATGAGGCCGGGTATGGAGTAACGTGATATGAGATATTATCGATCCCTTATATGGCCGTTACGATCGAGTCCTCTTGAGGCCGGTTGCATCGAGTTCTGTTAAGACCGAGTACACCTGAGACCTCCTGAGGCCTGGTAAAATGTGATGAAAGCATGAGATTTTACCGAATCCTCTATCAGGACAGTTACGATATGAGATGACATGCCCCAAAGAGCAGCTGAATAATATTATATTTTATTTTATGCACAGTCCAATGAGTGGCTTAACCTTTATACAACTTGCATGCATTCATGATTTATGGTTATTACATTACACGCCCCTGGTGGCTTGTCTTTGATATTTAGGTTAAACTTGTGTATTCATATCTCTTATGTTATACCTCTGGTTTACATACGTTATCTGTCTTACATACTCGGTACATCTTCCGTACTGACACCCCTTTCTTATGGTTGTTGTGTCCAAGCCCAAAGGTGCTGATAGATCCGGTGATGTCTCTCCTCAGCTATTGGTTGTCACACTCTACTTCTCTGGAGTATTTGTTCAGAAGTCGATAGATACTGAGGTGTTTATTCCGGTCATTCTAGTTACGCTGAGGTCTTATCCCGACCAAGTTGTGTGTCATGGTACACTTAGAGGCTTCCTGACTAGTGGTCAGATGTATGTAAATATTATTAGAACCCTATTAACAATGGATGTAAATTTACGTATATATTTAATGTTAAGGTTTCTTCCATAGCCAATAATGAACATTTATAAATTCTGGTGTCATGTTGGGAGGTCTAGTTGGCCCAAATTCATGCTGAGAGATTTAAGTATGGAAGTTGGTTCGCCCGGGCCTTTGGGCGTCATGTGTCGGTCGCACCTCCCGAGTTTGGGGTGTGACAAACTTGGTATCAGAGCATGTCAGTCCTAGGAAGTTTGCAAGCCGAATCTGGTAGAGTCTTGTTTACGAATATGTCGTGCACCATACTTATAACATGAGGCTACGAGATATTTAAGATGAATACCTTTCATTTTAATCAAGATCATGCGCTAGAGCGGAGTCGTAAGTATTTATTTCTAATCATCATCTTGTTTATGTTCATAGTAATGCCTACTACAAGACGTCCGACGATTGTTCAGAGATTAGATGATGAAGCGGGAGAGGGTACCACTCGGGTGCCATCTGCTCACATGGATCAACGTGAACCTCATGATGAGGCTGATACCCAATTTTTGGGAACAACACCACTACCCCCGGAAAGGCCAAGGGAAGCTAACGTTTCACGATTCCTCCTCTGGTTGCTCCTGAGCAGGACTTAGACATGAGAAGTGATGTGCAGTTATTGACTCGATTAGTAGCCTCGCATGCCCATCATTAGGCTCCTGGGGTAAGCGTCTGATAATTCTGCTCTAATTATTTCATCATACGCTTCAGTTGTCAACAATTTATAGTCATTCTCTAATATAATAATAAAATGAGCATGGGGTTAACCTCGTTTATGAAACTCAACATTGCACATAAAATCATCAACTTTTCCAACGATATTTCTTTTCAGTATATCCGTCTTCAGCTTTTCTATTTTGGACCTAAATATGCGACTAATCAAATCATGTCTATTTTGTACCTCATCGCTTGATGCTAAATGTTCCTCAATTTTCGGCCAAGTTGGGTTACATGTCATTGTTATAAATAGATCAAATTTTCCAAAATATTGTACTAACACAATAACGTCTATATAACGTTGACGTATATCTCTAGGCCCTCATATAAATGAATTTAGGAGAAATGTTTGTTTTCCAACATTAGAAGTATCTCGTTCACCAAGTCTTAAAAGGTCAAGAAGTCCTTTTAACATATCCATTCTGAACAAATCTTGAATGAAGAAAGCAAAATCCAATCTTTGAGCCTCCAATTTTATATATTTATCAACCGAATACTGTTGAAATAATCTCCCTGTATGTAGAAGTTCATCTTCGTCATCGTTTCTCATCTAGAGCTTATAACTGCAGTATTCACGAACTGAAACTATCTCTCTCTTTCTTTTCCCTTTTTTAATAACTTGATCTTCCATATCATGATATCCGTCAACATAGGTAATTTTTTATATATTTGGTAATTGTTCCAAATCAGACAAAGCATGATTTCTAGACATATTTTCTGTCCCGTGAAACTTTCTAATACCACAATGCCACTCACGTTGGCCATATGGAAATAGTAAGAGATACTGTAAAGGCACTACAAGAAATCGGGGTTATGGCGACGTTTATTTACTGACCTTTGCAATAAATGACGATAAAAGTTTTATTTTTTGACATTTTTTAGAAAACGTCGTAAAAATAACGACTGTTAATAAAAAATGTCAACAATTCGGTGACATCTGATTCAGAACATTTGTCGGTTTTAACGACTTTTATATACTAAAAGTGGGGGATTTTACCACTTCCGTAATTAAGTTTTTAAATAAAAAAGAGTAAATTAGCAATATTTCAGGACACTAACTAATATAGTAAAATCATCATCCTCTTTGCCGTGTGCCTACAATTGAATTCCGAATACACAAACGAAGAGATGCCGTCAATCCTCAAAATCTGTTGGTAATCCATCTGACTCATTGCCTCTCTGACACTCATACTTGTCACCCTCTTTTACCCAATCTCACTAAAAGCAAAAACCCTAGAAAACCCTCAATCCTATTATTCCCAAACGAAGGAGAAACGACTGAGAGATCTAGTGTCAAATATAGGACAACAAATGTAATGAGAAGATTTTTTTGTGAACTTTTTGGCTTTTAATTGTGAAATCTGGCCTAATTCTTTAGTTCAAGTTAATAGTTCTTGTTTGATTGAGTTCAACGAGGTTGACTATTTGAAGACATGCTTTTATAATATTTTCTCAGGTTCTTTTTCCTGTTTTCCCCTTCCTCTGCCACAACACAATGAGAGATTCAGGAATTTGGCTATTGCTTGCTCGTGGAGAGTGTTAACCGTGTAAGAAGAATCTTTCTCTGTTCCAGTTATTGCTCTTGTTGAAAAGTTTATCCATCTTTAAAGTGATTTAGGCCTTGTCCCGGATGAAACTTATATTACTAATTCATTTTCCTTTGATTTGTCTTTAATACCATCTCATTATGCATAAGTTTGCTCGGTACACAGCATAGATACATCAAAGGGGATAGAACTATTTCATAATTTTATCTAGTGCGGCGTTATTATTTTTTGGAGTGCAAATGGGGCACATTTTTGTCCAAGTAATAAGCAATTAGTTAAAGTGTTAGTTATATTTTTTTCATCATTGTTCATCGGCTTTGTGTTCTAATAATCATCTTTGGATATGTGTGATGACAACAATACATCTTAAATTTTATATTTTCTATAGGGTAGAAAAGTACTTTTTGGATAAATTGCTAGTAGCAGACCATGATGAGATCTCACTATTTTGAATTGGTAATTAATATTCACTCTTTGCGTTCAGTTACTATGAGTATAAATTTGAACATGCGGTACATGAATAACACCCATATCATTTTCGTTAACCCATATTGCTACAATATCAGTAGTACTCGTTGATCCAATCCAAAGTCATATTTGAGTGCAATGATAGTTCTGTAAGATCAAAATCGCAAATAAAGTTTGTAAAAATATAAAATATGAGTTATCTTTTAGTGTGTCTATCAATTCATCTATTTTATCTGAGCAAGCCATTCTATTTGCAACCTCATTATCGTTATCATAAAAGTACAACTGTAAATTTTTAGGCCTTCTCTTTGTAAGATATAAATCATCTATAAAGTGATACATTTGACCTTGAACTCTAAATGTATATATACCACGATTTGTTTTTGGCTAAATCTTTGTCGTAACTAACATCAAGTGAGATAAAACCGAATATATTATTATACGTTCTAGTATATGTCTGGAAGTGCTTAGATTTTGCAGAAGATCCTTGATATAAATTTCTCAGTGTAGGTAGCATTCGATGATAAGTCAACTTAACTGTACCATTAGCACAACAAAATCCAGGAGATTCATACTGAAATTTTTTTGCCGAGCAGAATTCATAATTTGGCACTTTTTTTAACAGATGTAGAAACGTCAATGATCAAGGATGACGGGGTTATCTTTTTCAAAAATGTGTGTAACGATCCGAAATTTCCACATTCGAGATTGTGATGACGCCTAACATTTCACTTGCTAGGCAATCCAACGTTAGAATATAATTAGTCATTTTAACAAAAAATTTAAATTAATTAATAACAAGAAAACAAATGCAGAAATAAAGTCTGAAATAAAGTGAATAATCCATAATAATCACAATATTTAAATACCATTCCAGAACTGGAGTCACAAGTGCACGAGTTTCTAGAATGATACAAATAAAGGTCTGAATAAAATAAATTTGTCTGAAAGCAAACACACAGCTTAAATAGAGTAGACGGGGACTTCAGAATTGCGGACATTGTGCAGTTATACCTCAAGTCTCCTCTAGGTAGCTGAAATCCGAGCAAGTCCATGGTACGCCGCTGGGACCAACTCCGAAATCTGCACAAGAAGTGCAGAGTGTAGTATAATTACAACCGACCCCATGTACTAGTAAGTATCAAGCCTAACTTCGACGAAGTAGTGACGAGGCTAAAGCATGTTACTTACATTAACCTGTACGCAATAATAGTAATAACAACAATAATAAAAATAAATCAGTTAACTCATTTTAATAGTTGAAGCCAACTCGGCAGTCACAACCAATTATTATTTTAATCAACTTCCGTTGCGGCGTGCAACCCGCCCCAATAATATAATTCCTCAATAAATTTTCGTTGCGGCGTGCAACCCCGCTCCAACAATATAAACTTTAAATAAATCTGTTGAGGCGTGCAACCCGATCCTCCAATATATTCATATTCAATTCTGTTGCGGCGAGCAACCCGCTCCTCCAATATATTCATATTCAATTCTGTTGCGGCGTGCAACCCGCTCCTCCAATATATTCATATTCAATTCTGTTGCGGCGTGCAACCCGCTCCTCCAATATATTCACTTTCATTTTCGTTATATTCACTTTCATTTCCGTTGCGGCGTGCAACCCGCTCCTCCAATATATTCATATTCAATTCTGTTGCGGCGTGCAACCCGCTCCTCCAATATATTCATTTACCAATTCTTATAAAAAACATTACTCCAATAAATGCAACAATGAATGTGAAATTATAAGACAACAAGCATACCATAATTATGATTTATAAGAAATAAGTGATGACAAGTAACAATTAATTGTGAAAATTAAGGATGTAATAGACATTTTAATAATTAGTATGTTAAACGTCAAGTGGCAATTAAATCACATGAATCAAATAAGTATGTAGCAATTATAACATGGATTCAAGGCATGATATTGAGCAAAGAACACGAGAGAAACAATTAATATAATAATTAATTCATGATTTAAAACGATTTATGATTTTTCAAGTAATTATGCAAACAATTAATTTGACGACGTATAAACACTCGTCACCTCGCCTATACGTCGTTCACATGCATTTTACATAACAAATAATTTAAGGGTTCTATTCCCTCAAGTTAAGGTTAACCACAACACTTACCTCGCTTTGCAACCAAATTCAAGAATCCAATAAACCTTTGCCTCACGAATTCGTGTCCGAAATCCTCAAATCTAGTCATAAACAATTCAATATACTCAATACAAATCGTAGGAATTAATTCCATATGAATTTACTAATTTTTTGGATTAAAATATGAAATTCATTTTAAAAATCGACAGTGGGGCCCACATCTAGAATCCCGAAAAAACTCGCGAAATCTGAACACCCGTTCTGATACAAGTTCAACCATACAAAAATTATCGAATTCTGACATCAGATTGGCTTTCAAATCCTCAAATAAAGTTTTGTTTGAAGATTTCTATCATTTTCAATCCAATCTTTACCCATTTGAACTCAACAACCTTCCCATAACCTTATTGGTACAAGCATGTATAACTAATACTCTTACATGCAAGAATCATACTCACAATCACCCATCTTTACCCTAACTCGAAATTGAAGAATAGGGGTTAGAACCTTACCTTTTGGTGTGAAGATCTTGTGATAATTCCTTGTTGGATTTCAAAGCTTGAACAAGATTTTTGATGAACAAAGCACTTGAGCTTCTTCCTATCTCTAAAACACTCTCACTTTTCTCTAAAATCATCAGATAATTATCCCAAAATAAGCCCCTAAAGCCTATTTATTAAAATGGGCCCGGGTTATGAAAATAGAAAAATTAACCCTTCGAAATCGGATCTGCGGTCGCATAATGGATATGCGGGTCGCACAATGATCACAAAAATCGGTGCCCAAAACTGGTCTGTTCTTGTCCATTCTACGATCAGTTTGCGGCCGCAAAAGTAGTTTCGCGATCGCATAACTATTCTGCGATCGCAGAATTGGTCGCAAAATCGCATTTTTTCAGCCTTTAATAATTTGGTCATAACTTCTTGTAGTAGTGTCCAAATGACGAACGGTTTGAAGAGTTAGAAACTATACCCGAAGACCTTTCATTTGATAGGTAGATCATCACATAATTCCTTATATATAGTATATATACTCGTTCAAAGTTTGATCTTGTGCGTACCCATTTGAAACTTTAGTCTATTATGAAATTTTCCAACTTGACTTAGACTTAGGCCTCTCCTTAGACCTCACATCACTTATAATATGCCTCGTACACTTGTTATCATATCCAATTGGTATCCATAATATTAATAGTCCTCAAATGAGAAGTAGAGTCCGCCCCCAAACACATAACATAACTTATCTCTTCTTTCACCCATTTCAATTTCCCGAATTTTTACCAACTCCCAAAATTTCCAAAAATTTCGCTTGAATTTCCTTTGTCTGGGCCTATCCACCTGTCAGAGAATCCCAGAAACCAATCCTAACAACACATACATAGTCCAATCAACGTAACACAACATGAAAACAATACTGACAGTGGCATCATAAGCAATATATTACTTTAAAAGGAACACCATTAACATCAATTATTCAGGTGATACATAACTGATAGCAGGTAAGCTCTCAACATCTTTATAGAACACAAAAATGAACGTTTAAATTAAAGATGACATTTTTAGATTATCACAACATGAAAAAGGTAAAACACATTTTTCTCTTTGTGAATCATATGAGGTGGCATAAAAACTTCATGTTCAGTGATTGCTGCAGGAAACAAATGTTAATAAACATAAAGATCACATGGCCTAACTGTTTCGCATACATCGTGTATATATATATGTAGCGACGTAGCTATGAATTTCGCCAAGGGTGTTCAAATTTTAAATAAGTCAATAATTTTTTTTTCCGATGAATGATGTATCAAATTTTTTTAATCAAACTACATAACATTTACCTAAAAAGTAAAAAACACTTTTAATAGAACTATAGCTTTATAAATCGAAACTAAGAACAAAAAAATAACAATAAAAATTTTACTAGTAAAAGTAAGCAGAAAACCAAAGGAAAGAGAGTCGGGGAAATTTGTAGTTTGTAGAGAGCTTTTGTTGAAGAAAGTTTTATAGAAATTGACTTTTAAATTATAAAATTTATTAAGAAGTAACTTTAGTTAAAAAACTACTTTTAAAATTAGTTGTTTATTTCTACATAAATTTTAAGTTTTAACTAAGAATTATTTTATTAGGATTTATCAATCCAATAGAGCACAAATGATGGTCTCCATTTAATTTTGGCAAATAAAATAAGCATAACTTTGAACCCGAGAACAACACGTCACTTTAAACACTCTGAACCCCTGAACTACCTCACTCAACTATATTAAGGGTGTTCAAAATATAATATACAATCATATAAAATAGTATTTAACTTATATACGAAGGGTGTGCGCTTGACCACCCTTGATATAGGGTGGCTACACCATTGTGTGTGCGCGCATATNTAAACTTAAAATTTTGTTTCTGCAATCGTAAAGGTATGTGGGGTTTAAAGGAAGTAAGAATCGTCTCTACCAATATACCAACAAAGAATGTTTTAAGCAGCTGATTTAGGAGATCAAATTGCAGTCCATTCTCCTATCCAAACTCTAAGCTAATTTCGAAGCTCAATAGCTACTTAGCCTTGTGTCTATAAAGGAAAACTAATAGCATTCATCTCACTAAAGAAGCATCAGGAGCAGCCACCTTTACAAATTTGAGCACACCTCACATCGACCATTTACATAGTTCGTCTTGAATATGTTGATTGGCTAATGACACCAGGTGATTTAAATCCCCGCGTTGTCTTACCAGCATCAACTTCCATATTTGCTCCATGTCTTATTGAAAGAAGTGCTATCTGTCAAACGAAGTTCAACATCTAAAGGTTCCTTATGTCCTACTCTAAACTATAGTAGTAAAAATTATTGACTAATTAATACCGGAAGCACCAATTAGGAAAAGTTCAATGGCAAAAAGCAATAGTGTAGTACCAGCAACAAATTGGTAGTTACAACGATGAACTTAACAACACTTACATACCTGTGATTCTCTATTTGTTTCCTGCAGTTATACGCGGGTTCATGAATATGTGTCATCTTCACCAACAAATGTTAGGCTGGAAGGGTGCTGGACTTCCAGTTATTAATCTGAGTGAAAAGGTTTCATCAAATAGGCACTACCAATTAAATCAAGCTCTAAGTTCATGATGCATCTAGAGTATAATAACATTGGAAGCACTGTCAAATTTTGTAGACATATGTAATAAGCTCGGATAATCAAAATGCTTTTTAACTGATGAACCTTACAGAAAATCATTGAATACTATGATGTAAATAGATAAGTAGAAAAGTTAAAAGACTTCTCTAGGTAACATGGATAAAAAACAATCAAACTTTAATTTCAGAGCCATAATCACAATTTATCTATAAATCCTTATTTAATTGGATCAGAGATGTTGCACTCTTTGAAGAGGGACAAACAAGGTTTAGAAAATTGTCCATCGAAATGTATATATATCATAGTGTTTAGAAAAGGATGGAGGGTTTAGAAAAAACATCCGAGAAAGCATCCAGTATATTTTATTAGCAATTTATGAAACATGTCTGCATCATGAAGTACAAATACAACGGTTGCTAAACTATGAAACATAATACTCAATATCTCAGTCTAAATTCAGTGGCACATATATTAATTGTAAATACTGCTATACATTGTTAGTGTAACCACACTTCTATGAAATAATAAGAAATATTTTCATTAAATGTATAAACACAACTGATGTATTCTGAGGGTCTCTCTGAAGCAGCATCTCTACATCCACAAGGTATGAGTAAGGTTAGCGTATATACTACCCTCCCCAGACCCCATACTATGAGAATATATTGTTATTATTGTATAATGCAGATCATAAGATATTCTTTCCCTGGGAAGACTAATATGCCATATTGTTCATATTTTTACTTATGTCGTGGACAATAGATGCAACAATATAAACATGAGAAGTTTCAAGTTTACCAAAATTCTTTTGGCAGTAGATAAAAAATAAAACTCAATTTTCAGGAGTGAAGTAATTAGCTCAATTCTAATAATTACCAAGAAATTATATACTTTTGAACCCAGCCCCTGACAAAGAGCTGAATTGATGTTCTTTCCCTTCTTGTGTCTGCTATCAAACTGTAGATGGTATAATGGACTCAATTAAAGCAGTGTGTTTCCACCCTTCGTCCACAAAAGATTGTCCTCAATCATAGAAGAATCATTTTATTCTTCTTCTAATTTTTTTGCTCTATAACTTAACCCATCACAAATGCTCAAAAGAGCCAATGTTCTCTTTGTCAATCTCAAAAGCTCTAAACTACAAAATGTTAGCAAGTTGTGAGGTAGAAAAAATAACAATTATTGTTATAAAAGAGAGGATACATTTGGCAAGTACCTTATAATGGTGAACCAGTTGTGACTTTTTCAGTTTTAGTGTGGGCATAACTAAATCTCTTGCAATCGCAAAGAGATTTAGCTCCATATGCATAGTGCGTCATATTTCAAAGAAATAACGCTATGCAAGTATTTTTCAAATCAGATGGAAACTTAGAATGGAGGAAATTAAAATTGGTAATATTAATACTTGATATTTCCTGGCAATGGTGTTGAGTTCATCTAAAATGTAGTTCCTTACCTTCGAGTTCTTGCATAAAGATGAAATCTCCAGCTTCTTGATTACTTTAGGCCAAATATTCAATTCTTCTAGAACTACCATGGCCAGCTAAAAAGATTTCAAGCTGATTCGTTATACTCAAATCAGTAAACTAAATGTTGTGTTAAAAGGAAGATGTAAGATTATCAGTGTCATATAAACATCTAATAACTTTTTGATCACATGTGGGATTCAATGTTCTTTGTGGAGAGTATAACGACAGAATTGATATCACCATGATATATAGGAGGCTCAATCATCTTATGCAAAAAAATATAACCTCCTTGATATATCAGTAGAAATATCCAGTGAGTAGCCACATTTATAGGATGTTGTTCACTTCTGAATTTGTTCAACATCAGCTTTATTTTTCCAAAAGGAAAAAACAACTGAACTGTTACACACCAATCTAAAACATGACAACTAATTATAATGAAAAGCCATGTTAAGATAAGAAAATATGGTCAATAAGATGCATCTGAAATTATCTATCTACTTGGAGCCAAATTATCATATTTCATATCAGCTGGTATCAAGCATATTCGACAAATATAACCTGGAACGACCTTCTTTCATCCATCACAATTGGTAAGTGATTCAAGATCTTTGTTACAATAGTGATGTTTTGACCCTCTAGTTAACAGAAAGGAAAATATCCATTCTTCTTAAGTCCTTGAATAGATATCAGTTATCCAAAGTGAATTAACACTTCACTTGATAGAGAAAAACACATAGCTCTTCTTTTATAGATGATTTTCTTGTATCTTGGTAATTTGCCAAGAATAAGTGAATCCACTAAAGCATTGGAAATAATTTTCAGCACTCCAAATGCATTATTTTATTATCAGACAGCCTTGTGTCTGCTCGTATCAAGAACAAAGGTAAAACTTTAAACAAAATGGTCAGTCTACTGAGCAACAACCATTTCATCTTTTTATTTTACACCAATTCTGCATCCCAGATTTCTTTTGCAGTTTACATCATAAACAATTACCAATTATCTCATCAAAATAATATGGTAGTAAGTCGTTGATTCAATGCAATCAAATTTTAAGACTTCGAATCTAACCATGTATTGGAGCCTCACCTCGGAGGAGCACGACCACTTGAGAAACAATATTCTAAGAAGCAGAACGCTTGGCCTCTATGTTGGCCAAGCTTTTCAGAAAGTGCTTTTAAGTATCAAATTACGAATAGGGACATAAATAAATTTACTTAATAGTTAATATTATAAATAAATAAATAATCTTAAAAATTTGTTATTACAGGCAATAATTAAATTTTTTCATTTCATTTAAGTAAAATATGAAAATAAAATTTAAAAGTACTTAATTCTTTTAATATAAGTTAAATATATTAAAAATCATTCAACAAATATAAAAACATTCACACCTAAAGTCACTGTATATTATAAAGCTATCCTAAAAATAATAAGAAATATTTATACATTAATATCCTAAGTATTAGGTTTAACAGTTATTTTGGTATATACTATATTTTGTTAAGGGTATTTTTGGTAAGAAGAAGAGTCAAAACTGCTTCTGTTTTTGGGAAGAAGTTACTTTTTTCTGCTTCTCAGAAATTCTGCTTCTTCCAAAAAGCACTTCTTTTCCCCAAAAAAGTTTGGCCAAACACCTCAAGTTAGGGAAAAAAGTGCTTTTGAGAAAAAAAAAATAAAAATATTTTTGGCCTCCTGAGAAGCTTGGTCAAACAGGCTATAAGACTCCTAACCTAATTAGCCAAGAGAAGAGAAAAAAATCAGATTTAATTTTCTTTGAGATGAACTCTATTCCAATTAGAATAAGAGTAAACGCCCAAGCAAACTTAGGTTTAAAAAAAGATACGACCGCTTAATGAATATCTCGATTCTCGACTCCAATACAATGAGGGTTCGTTTGATAGGGCGTATAAGAATAATGCTAAATAAGATGTATTAGTAATGCAGGAATTAGTAATACATGAGTTAGTAATGCAAGCATTAGTTATACGGAGATTATTTCTTATGCATTATTTGGTGTGATGTATTAAAAATTAAAATGCATTGCATAATTTTTAAGAAATTTAATTGTTTACAAAAATGCCCTCCATATTCTTTAACTTAAGGGACTTTAAGGATAATTTTGTCTTTAACCATATTAATGCATGCATTAATAGCCTTTGTATTGCTAATGCCATGATTTTCTATGCATTAGCTATACATAGGATAATACCAAATAGAGTGTATAACTAATGCTTGTATTAGTTATACATAAGTTGAAAATGTGTACCAAACAAAACATTACTAATACACAAAGCTAATGCATGCATTATTTTTTCTAACACACTTTCTACCTTTGACTGTTTTACCTTCTTGATAACAACACACCCGCTTGGGCTAACCAGTAAATATAAAATTCTAATATTGCTTCATTTTTTACAAGTAGCATAAAATTCTAACATTGCTGAATGCTATCAATAAGTATTCTACCATTTGTATAAAATTTATTCAAAAATTTCCCCCAATTCACAGGGATGTACAAACTTTACATCGTTGAAGGCAGTTCTAATTTACTCGTAACAGCAAAAGAGAACAAAAGAAGTTCTTACCAAATAGTTAAGTTGTTTCAAGCATATCATCGAATACCTTAGGCTCATCAGCCTTAATAATTCATATGAAGCAAAGACTGAAAAGTAAGAATAAAATAAAAGAAGAGAAGAAGCCATTAAATGGACTTGTCACAAACTTTAAAATATATCTACAGAAAAAGAACACCACGAAAGTATGTTTACGAATACATCGATACTGTCAATAACAAAAAAATTGTAAGTAGCAAAGACCTAATCTTCCAACAACAAGCTTAATTATATTCCAGATTTTTGCATAGACATTTCGATTCAGTAATTACTTGGTGCCAAAGGTTGAAAAGACATAGACGATCAGTAATCCAAAATAATATACAATTACATGCACCAGTCATCTATTTTCAACCATGCATGTTCAGATCAGTGAAAGACAAGATAAAGTTAAAGCAAAAAATGGACAAACTTTCAAAGGAATACAGAAGTGAAAGGCAGAAATCACTGAAAGAAATGAATAAAACAAGGAAAACATATCAGATGTAACGAATGAATTAGAGATTAAAAAATAAAATCAGAGAATCCCGAAAACTGAAACAAAACTGAACAACAATGTAAAAGCAAAGGGGGGAAGAACTCGCCAAAAAGTAGATACACAAAAGTGGGAGAAGAATGGCGGAGAGAGAAATGAATAGTAAGCCAAATGAATGTTGCTCTCATCAAAAGAAGCATCTGAAAACATATCGATATTGTGGAAAGATAAATGCAGCCCACGTGGGTCTCCATATAAAAGAGCCACGCAATCTATTGAATACCCACATTTTAGCTTTTATTAACATAAATACCCTTCGTCGTACGAAGGGACACTTATTATATAGTTAAAGTTAATATATATATATATATATATATATATATATATATAGGGCAGTTAGTGAGTTTAATATTCTAACCTGTTTTTGACATAGAACAAGAGGTTCCAATAACGA